TACGGTTGTAAACGCACGATTTAACAATAAGCTTCTAGAAACATGAAAGTTTAATGAAAAGGTTGATAACGTGCACATTTCAAAGCTATAACGCGGAGTCTTATTTTGCTCTGAAATGCTCTCCACTACACTAAAATACTCTGAACTGTTAAAGAATGTCAACTAGAGGTTAATCCTTGGAAAAGGCGTGCGCGAGATGGTTTTGCACGAGTTGAGAAGTATCAAGCCGGGTTAAACGTTCCAACTTTCTTCGATAAAATTTGTTGATCTGACATTATTGGGGCGTTAAACATCCATGTTTGTTCAACATTAATTGTTGGACGAACGTTTCATAAGTTCTCAAACATTAGTCCTACAAAAAATGTTGGACAAGCATATATGCTAAATGCTTTAACATTATTGAGTCAACAAGTCTTCGATGACAATGTTGGAACGTTTAGCACGGGCCTCAGAAAAAGAATGAGGGTGCGAAAAGAACGAGCGAGTTTTCTGAAAAATTTCAATGAGTGAAATATTGAGAATCGTACAAGATTAGTTCGTGCCATAATAAACGTCAGCATTGTCACCTCAAAGCGCAAAGATGGTAGATGGTTGAAGTAAAATAAGCAAATAATCTGAAACGTGACCGTCAGATCGAAGAAATCGCAAAGGAGATAAACGAATTATTTCTCAAGAACAAAGACTTACAGTCACAGGTAGCGTTGCAACTAAAAAAATTCTTAAATATGTTCTAAGCAGTGCAATGCATTGTATGCTGAGCTGTTCACAACTATCAAATATTACTCAGCAGTGCGCCATACTGTACAGACTGCACTTACAGAACATCTGAACTGAGTAACAACACCGAACTGGGAAAAAACTCTTAAATATTACTATATAGGGCGCTACACTGTACCGAACAACAATACACTGAATAGTAATTCAGTGTATTGTTGTTCGGTACACTGCAGAGTAAGATTAAATGTTACTATGCAGTCCTTTGCATTGTGCTCAAGAACACGATACTGACCTGTTGGAACTGCTAAATCTTGCTATGCAGTGGGCTGCACTGTACACTGAACTGTTGAAAACTGTTACATGTTACTATGCAGTAGGCTGCACTGTACATTTGACGCCAAAACTATAAGAACTTTTCTCGTATGAAAGTAGTTCTACTTCATGGATTCTTATTTTAGCGTTAACGAATATGAAAAAAAAATCACTACGAGGTGGGTAACATGTGGTTAGCCTGCAGAAAGTCAGGTATAAGTTTAAGATACATTTCGGCTCCTACTGAATTTGGATATAATGACGCTCCAGTTTCAACTAAATAGCGCTCCACGATTTTTGAAGTTGTTTTTTCAAGAAGATCGAGATATTGTGGTTCTTATCAGTAAGCGTTTGGAATTTTAGTCGGTTTTTAGTAAAATGATTTATTTAGTCGTTCTCGTTCATGTATGTATAGTTGCAATATTCTATCAATTATGTTAAGAAATCATCTTTTCACAATGGTAAACGAAATAGAAGTTCATAAAAAAACGGGAAACACTATAAATGAAAGGGATAAGAAGTATGATGATTACATGTAATAATATCTAACTAAGAGTTAAAGGACTGGAACTGTTTTCTTGAGATAATTTCAATTCTATTCTTAGATTTCAGCTTGAAATTCGTTTCAAAAATCGTTTGCGTTTAATCTCAATGATATATCAATTTGTATGACGTAAAGTAGCTAACTGATACATTTTTACTGGTGTTGTTGTTGTTGTAGTCCTGTTTTTGTTGTTGTTTCTCCCTAGCCCAGCTTGGGAATACCCTTACCTAGGAAGATAAATGCCCAATACCCATGTTGGTTGAAGACTGCGTTCGTTTGTTGGTATAACTGAGGGAATAGTTGATGTTTATCATTTAAAAAGGGACGCTTCGATTACTATCAGCCTGTAAAATCAGCCCTAAAATACAAGCTTTCTACGTCTATCTTCTCTTAATACTTTATTGCTTAATGTATCTTAAAGGCAACAAGTTCGTTAGATACGACTATCTGTGGCCCTGTTTCTCTGCACTTGCTAAATGCTATCTAAAGTATAGTATGTAGCAAATAAAGACCATAACGAAA